AATAAAGATTCCAACTATCATACATAATCTTGGTTTCTCAGTTTAAGAACCCTCCAAAGAAATGGTCCAGTGAAATCTATAAATGCTTCTAAACAGTTTGTCAATACATGAAACATTTCTGAATTCAAACAGTCTGTGAAGGATGCCTATATAGGCTAATATATTTCATTGGAATTTTTGAGATGTAATATTATACTTAAAATATTATACTAATTATACTAATAACTTAATTATACTAATTCAGTCCTAATTCCCTGTCTCCTGGGTTCAACAAAATATGCCTCATAACTAGTCAAAGTTGTTGGAGCATCCAAGACCCTGAAGCTCACTAATGAACATTCTTTACATCTGTGTCCTGAAACAAGTATAGCCCTATGGAAAAAGAAAAATGGAAATACAAAAGGCTATTTGGAAGAAATTGGCACAAGCCATCTGAAAAGTCCCAGTATTTTGGTTATAAATTATCAAAACAGTTCCCCCAGATTAGGCAGAGTGTTCAGTCCACTTAAGATGGGGGATGAATATTTCTATGGCCCTATTTAATATCCACTTTAGAGATTCAGATCTCTTGCCCATAATTTCAGAGCCTCTTTCTGACTGGCCTCCTGCTGTCACTTCAGACATCCAAATTTATGGAACAATTGATAGAGACAAAGCATTTGGATTGATCTGTTCCTTGGGTCAGTTCCCAGTGATATTCTGAAATCTAATTTAGATTTGTGGGATCCTAACTTGGTCTCCCTATTTATCTATATTGATCAGTCCTTGCAAGGTACCTAAATAATAGGGCTGATCCCTAATAGTCCAACGTTTAAGAAAGCTTCTGAGCTTCAGTCTAACAGCTAAGCACGCTGTTCTGTGCTTCTGTTGTGCACCTAATACTTTTGCTTGAGCTTCATAAGAGAAAATGTGGACATATATATAAATACTATTTTCTTTGTATTTCTTTAGGGTGAAGAGCATGACAAATGGACAATGCATTTTGATTCTTTCAAGAATCATATGAATTCATTTGCACAATATCCTTTAAATACAACATATCAAAAGACTCCTGAGGCTATACAGCATTCCCAGGACCATACAGCTTGTACAACTTCACCTTTGTCTTGTCTCACGCCGACAGAGATAGAGATTCCAGGAAAAGCAGTTGGAAACTATATTTCAGAGCCAAATCAAAAAGCCAGGTGATTGCCTAAACTTTTCCTTCCAGGTTGCAACCAGGCATTAACTAGCATAATCTATAAAACTGTTCTTTCAATAAATGAATTGTAGTTATCAGGGCTTTTTTTCTCAGAGAAAAGGTGGTGGAACTCACCTCCCTCCCCTGGCCACGCCCCCACCCAAACCTGGCCACGCCCCCACCCAAACCTGGCCACGCCCACGTTTGGCTTTGAGGGCGCCGGCGTGAGAGCCTCTGGATTCTCTGCCGCTTCTTGCTCGGGCAGGGTCGCCTAGGAAACGGGCCAGGGGCG